CCCGGCGGCAGGAAGTTCTTCTTCGCGGTAACAGACTACTTCACAAAGTGGGTTGAAGCAGAAGCATTGGCATCAATCAAGGAAAAAGATGTGAAGAAGTTCGTCTGGCAAAACATCATCACTCGATTTGGCATACCAAAGGCCCTAATCTCAGACAATGGCACTCAATTCGACGGCAGAATCTTCAGAAGCTTTTGTGAAGAGTACAAGATAGAGTTCTACAATTCTACACCGGCATATCCTCAAACGAATGGCCAAGTAGAAGCATCAAATAAAGTCATCTTGGATGGACTTAAGAAAAGACTAGAGAAGGCAAAAGGCAAGTGGGCGAACGAACTTCCTCATGTTTTATGGGCTTACCGCACCACACCTCGACGATCAACAGGAGAGACACCATTCTCCTTAGCCTATGGAATAGAAGCAGTAATCCCACTGGAAGTTGGCCTCCCCACAATTCGAAGCGAAAACTTTGATCCAGGCTTAAATGGAGAAGCCATAACATTGGAACTCGACCTTGCAGAAGAAAGAAGAGAAAAAGCACTGGTTCACATTGCTTCATACCAACAAGAGTTGATTAGAAAATACAACAAAAAGGTGCATCCAAAACAATTCAAGATCGGTGATTGGGTACTGCGCAAGGTCATGGGAAACACCTTAGTACTAGGAGATGGCAAATTAGGGCCGAACTGGGAAGGTCCTTACAAAGTGGTTGGGTTAGCAGGCAAAGGGGCATACCACCTAGAAGACAAGGACGGCAAAGCAATCCCTAGGCCATGGAATACAACCAATCTCAAGTTGTTTTATTTTTGGCTTTTTCTCTTTCAAACATATGTAATTTTCTCTTTCCTCAATAAAACAATCAATTCTTTTTCAGCATGAGTTGTTCTTTGTAAAAGTCAGTTTTAGTAAAGATAGGAATATTGCAAACCTTTTATTCTAAGTTAGCTGGAAATAAACTTAACTTAGAGGTGTTGGCTGGAATTACCAACACCCCTTCCTTAAAGCCCGAGGATAGGATCCATGGCATGCAGGACGTTTGCGTCGAATAAACAACATTGTTCTTAAGTAGCTGGAAAAAACTAACTTAGAGGTTTTGGCTGGAATAAACAACTTCGTTACTCCTCAGTCGAAGTATGAGTACGGTGAAGAGTGGTGGCTGGAACATAAACAATTTCTTAGTACTTCTCAGCCGTAAGTTAGAGTACGGCTGAAGAGTGGTTAGCTGGAAAATAAACCACTTGGTACTCTTCAGCCGAAGTATGGATATGGCTGAGAGTGGTTGGCGTGGAAATAAACCAACTCTTAGTACTCTTCAGTCCGAAGTATGAGTACGGTTGGAATGTGGTGGTTGTCTGGTAAAAACAACTCTTTGATACTCTTCAGCCGAAGTGAGGGTATGGCTGAAGAGTGGTTGGCTGGAATAAACCAACTCTTAGTACTCTTCAGTCGAAGTATGAGTACGGCTGAAGAGTGGTTGGCTGGAATAAACCAACTCTTAGTACTCTTCAGCCGAAGTATGAGTACGGCTGAAGAGTGGTTGGCTGAAATAAACCAACTCTTGTTACTCTTCAGTCGAAGCAAGGGTATGGCTGAAGAGTGGTTGGCTGGATTAAACAAACTCTGTATACTCTTCAGCCGAAGTAAATATATCGGCTAAGGAGTGGTTGGCTGGTAAGCATAGTTTAACCAGCTAAAACCGGAATAAGAGTTCAAATAGAAATTTCATTTAAGACATTACAAATGCAAGCATACGAATCAAAACCGGAATAAGAGTTCAAGCAAAATTTTTCATTCATTGAAAAGCCATTACAAAGAAGGGGCATAGCCCGGTTACAAGAACAAACAATAACGAAAGGAAAAAATACATAATCAAGAGAAAAGTTCTTCAATTTCGGCATCAAAAGCTGCATCACCATCAACTCGAAGACCGGTTTCAAGAGGAAGTTCGCTCTCGGTTGCCAGGATGGTTTCGGTTAGAACCACGGTTTCACCTGGCGGTTCAATAGTCAGGTCTTCTACCATGGGCTCCGACCGAACTGATGGGTCCGCACTGACAACCGGAGTATCTTCAGAAGCAGAGGAGTTGCCGGAATCTGAGTCTTCTAGAAATTGCTGCTGCAGGGCATTAGCATACTCCGTAAGGGAATTCGGTATGAAGTAGGCTGGAGGGTTGAAGACTTCGGTCTGTTGATCATGACCGAGCTTCTCAACAGCCGCCCTCCAGCCACACTTGAAGAATAGCTCCTTGGCAACATTGCATTGCTTGGCATAAGCATCCTCTGCCTTCTTGAAGCCTTGTTTGCCGGCTTCCTTTGCGCTCTCCTTTATTTCGGCATCTTTCTTTCTTTCGAGCTTCACAAGCTCGCGCAAGTACTTGTCCTTCAGAGCTATGGCAGCCTTCTGCCTTTCTGCTTCGGCCGAACTAACCAATCCGGTCAGCCTGCTGTTCTCAGCTTGTAGCTCGGCCATTTGCTTCTTGATGTCTTCTACCTCGGCCGACTTCACTTCGGCTTCTGCCACAGCTTGCCTTGTAGTTTTTCTGAGTTCCAGCACTTTCTTGTGAGTGTTGTAGTTTTTTTGAATTGCCTGGCAAAACAAAGACTTCCCATGAGCCGAAGTAAAAGTTTAAAAAACTAGACAGAAAAATGGACAGAGCTACATACCAGGATCATGGACTTTGTGGCAGACCGGATGGACTTTAGTTCGGTGTTTAACTGCTTCTGGTGGTGCTCCATATCCTTGGGGAGGCACACACTCTTGGCCAGGCTAAAGGCCAACTGGTGATCTTTTTCAGCGACAACCGAATCAGCATCAAGGATATCTCGGTCGTTGAAGCTAAGCTTTGGTGCCCAGCTGGTGATAGTTCGGTCGGCAGGCTGCGGTTGGGGGCTCGGTGGCAGAATCGGTGGAATAGCAGTCTCATCTTCTACCGGTTCAGATTCGGTGGTTCGGGCGCGTTTGGTTCGACGCGACGAAGATGGCTGTTGTGAGGGGAGGGCCACAACGACAGGCTGCGTTTGGCTTGGTAACGGTACTTCGGGCCTGCTTGTCTCGGTCAGAAGCGCCCTTAGTCTGTTCTTCTTGGCCATTTCCTCTTCAGCAGTTAATGGAATTAATCTTATTTGTGGCAAGGTTGGGTCCGGCTCTGGGGCGTCTTCGAGAAGAAAATCAGTTACTCTGGCTTTACGACGACCACTGTATCGGTAGGTCGGCTCGAATTTCAGCAATTTGGCCCAACTACGTTCAAGATATCGTAGTGCGGCTCACAAAATTGCAAGGTTTGGATAGCTGTATAAGGAATGGAGGTGGGCGGAATCTGCGAAAGAAGAACTATTAGTTCGGTTGATAGACTAACAAACCGAAATAAAACATGAAATATATGCAAGAAAGAAGACCGAAGTTAAAATTACCGGGCTCTCCTTTTTTCCAATTGATAGGTCGGCCAGGAATTTGGGCTTGAAAATCCTCAAAGTTCCCAGAGACCCAGAAAAAATCATCGTTGTTTAAGTCTTTGTCTGGTGTATATTTAATTATCTTCTCTCGGCGGCGATGTATTCTAAGATAATAAACCCACCCATCTTCTTTTGAGCCAATGGAATATTGGTGGAAGATTTCGGCCAGGCCAAGGTTTAGTCCGGCTTGTTGGTTCAGTGCGGCTATTCCCATAATGATGCGGTATGAATTAGTGGACAGTTGGGTAGGGCATAGTCTAGTCTGCCTAAGAAATTCACAGATCAATGGTTGGACTGGAAACCGTAGTCCGGTTTTTATAATGGATAAAAGGGTGAAGGGGACAAAGCCTTCGTTATCCCAGGGAATGACATCTCTTTCGGCTAATGTCAGGTGGACATCATCAGGTATGTTATAGTCCTTCATGAATTCGGCTAAGCCGTCTGGAGTGTTTACTAGGTACCTATACTTACCCATCTATGGTATAAATTAAGAATAAATTAGTTCGGTCGGAAGATTGGGCTCAGTAGCTCGGTTGAGCGCACGAAGATGTGCTTGGGCAACCTAAGTTTGCAAAGTAGAAAACAAAGGGGTTAAGCACTGATCATTGGACCGTGCTACAAATTAAAAGCAAGGTATAAGAGCCCTACTTCGGCCTCATGAACTGGTTCTACCTCGGTTCGTCAAAAGGTTTGGTAGCTTGGTTTGAGCAGGTTGCTCGTTAGACCGGTTCATCGTCTAGGGGCAGCTTTCTGAGTTCGGTCTAAAAAACTAAGAAAGCTGGTTTAGCCCCAAAGGCCTAAATCGGTTGAAGTATGAATAAAGTTACTTCGGTTGAGCCTCTAGGGGCAGCTTTCTGAGTTCGGTTTAGAAACTAAGAAAGCTGGCTTAGCCCCAAAAGCTTAGTTCGGTTGAAAACCGAGGTTCCTAGTTTAATATGTTCAAACCTCGGTGATCTTATTTCGGCTAAAGTGAATCAGGCGTTGGTGACTCATTGAAACTTTTGTTATTTATTCAAGTTCTAGTTCGGTTATTGACTAAAGTGATCTACCTATATAGGACAAACAGTATCCTAGTTCGATTGCTACATAATTTTGGATCTAAGACTAGTTTTCTACAGAAGTTCATACACGCATGGGTTCTGCTGATGCTTTTTCATAAAAGTATAGAAGCGAACCAGAAATGGACAAAATGTTTGCAAAAAACATACAAAACAAAATATACAGATGAACAGAGCAAGAAGGATAGGCTTGCTTACCAGATTGAAGAAGATCTAGATGGAAGCGGCAACAGTAAAGGAGGCACACATGAAGTATACTTTACAGTTGCAAGAAAAATGAAGAACTCGAAGAGAAGGAAGGAAGTGAATGGCAAAAGTGAAGGGACCTAGCCTCAGGGATTGTTTTTGTTAGAAAGCCCAAAATTTGGGCGGGACTGTTCAAAATTCGCGAAGTACGAAAGACGGCGTGACAGCCGTCCTCAATCAATCAGAGCGTGCCACGTGTGAATAGAATGGGAAGCGTTACAGTCACTGTGATTGAAGAGACGTTTCGGTCAGACAAGCAGAGCCTGGAGTAAGATAAGTTCGGCCGAGAGGCTAAAGGAAATTTTAGTTCGGCTGGAAATACTTACAAAACTTCGGTTCGGCTGGAAGACAGGTAATTCCAATCATGTTGTACAGATGGAATTACGGGGCAATTGAGAGGGTAATTTTTGGTAAAAATTGGGCCGAGTTACAGAGATGGACTTTATGACCCAAAGTATAAAGGACTGGATAGAAAGGCCCAATGGAAATGTAAAAGTTACTCCGGTCCAAGAGTAAGAAAGTTACTTCGGTTCAGGAATGGTAAAGTTACTTCGGCCCAGAAGAGATGTTGAGTTACTTCGGTCCGTACAACTTTTCTAGTAAGGCCGGTCTCGGAGATAGTCCGACCATGATGTATTCTGGGTAGGTCGGTCGGAATGTTGCTACTCGGTAGATCGGTCCAAACACACCATGGTTCGTGTATGAGAGAACCGAGATATGGCGCAGCAAGAGGAAGAACCGAACTACTGTTAGTACGGCCTACTCTGTGGCTCAGTATAGCCAGGTTTATCCCGGTCGTATGGCAGTTCGGCCGTGGTGAAAACCATCCCACTTGGTTTAAGCAGTGGGGGGTGTAAAAGGATAAACATTATCCTTTAGGAGTATGAATCTTAGGAGGATTCTGCATGGAGAAATAAAAGTCCTACTAGGATTGTGCCACTCGAAACCTATAAAAGCTCACAAGCATCACCTTGGAGGAGGTAATTGAACATAATTCTTTCTGAGAGCATAAAACTTTGTCTATTTGTCAAGCTTACTGACTTAGGCATCGGAGAGGTTTCCGGCACGCACCCGCCGGCTAGCTCACTTTTGTGTTTTCAGGTTATAAAGCGACGTCGTACGGAGGAGCGTGGACTTAGTCAACAGGATTATACGAGAAAACAATATGAAATCAGTGGTGATGGATCCACTAAAAATGGACCACTAACCCAGTTCTAATGAGCTGGCAGTCCAGAAAAATAAAAAAAATAAAAAAAACAAAGAGCAAAACATCAAATCAATTAGGGGCACAGTGTTTTTAGAGCTATTAGAGTTCATTGTTTTAGTGGTCTCAAACAATTTTCAAAAAAAATATCAGGGAAAAATACACGCACAAAAAAAAAAAAAATCCTAAGGTTTTACTTCATTAACAAATTAAACCCACAGTTCTTAATTTTATCACTTTAAACTATAATTTTTTAATTTTAGAATTCACTTTGATTTTTTTTTTTCTTTTTTTTCTTCATATTATGAGAAAACAAACAAGTAAGAATCAATCCATTCTAAAACGTAGTGTCTCCATTCACAAAAACAATGAAGCATTTGGATATCTTTAATGGCATTCATGTATATATATGTGTCAAAATCTTTAGACAAACAAAGTACAAAATTCAAATTTCCGAAACAGAATGAAAATCCATCCCTCACCACTTTCAGAAGCATACAAACTTGATAACAACCGGTCCATATTTATCTTCAAAGCACATGCACATGATTATATGTTTATATATATAAGAACCGCTTAGCTGCTTAAGCTTACTTTGATATTTTGGCCATGCCTTTGGAAAAGTTGTTTGACTTCTAACCTTGCCTTTCTATACTATTTCAATTGAATTACTGATCAAGCCTGGCCTGTGCTAGTTACGGTTGGAAGTATTTTGTTGTTGCTGATTATTCTGTGTATTGCGTAAACTATATTTTTAGTGCATACTTAGGCCTGTGACAAGGTGAGAGACAGGGGACATGCAGCTTGATCACTTGAGCAAATGGGGTAAAAAAATGAACCTGTGTTTCTTTGAAGACTTGGTACAGCAACATTGCATTTCCTTACTCTCATGTCATCTTTTAACATCCAATATTGATGATTTGAACTTGGTTTAAGGGTTTGACTCTCAAATTAATAGTGTCATACCTAGGCTTTATTTTGAAGCCATTTCTCATTCTTACTGGTTCTGATTTTTTGCTTCCTTGCCTATAAAGAAATTAGTAAACCATGGAGTACCTTTACAGATTTCAACTTAAGTAATTCTGTATGATGTTTTAGTGTAAGTTTGGATGACAGCTGTTAACTAGTTATTGATTCTAATATTTTTCGTTCCTTAACAGGCTACCCCCCGTTTGGGAGAGCTGCAAATGTTCAGGTTGCAGCAGGAGAGCAAAAGTATTGGCACAATGGCAAATCAGAGAGAGACCTCGTCAAAGAAAATTGCACGTGAAAAGGGAAAGCAGGGACCCAACATAGCTGATGAACAGTGAACAACAAAACGGAAAAAAGATACAGATACAAACATAACGAAAGCACGTGGAGTGGATAAAGCTGAGGAGAAAAACTCTCTTCAAAAAAATGAAGGTGAAAATGTCCAAGTCCATGAAGGCAAAACTAGTAATGCACATGGAAAAGGAAAAAAAGATTTTATCCCTGAAAAGCCCAAATACAATGACCAATGCACTGCCTTTGTATCAAACCTTAGCCTTCAGGCAAGTTGTTTGCTACCAATTCATCTTCTTTTGAGCCGCACACTCTTATGCACCCACATGCACAAATGATCATGAGAATCAATTGTCGTTTATATCATAATTAATTCATCTAATGATAACTTGTACGGGCAATTTACGAGGATCTACGAGCTTTTTTCAGTGATGTGGGTGGAGCAGTTGCTATTCGCATATTAAAGGAAGGACAAGTACACTGGAAAATCAAGGGTACAAGTTTCTCTCTCTCTCTCTACACATACATCCAAAGGCCTTAATTTTATCTTCCTCTGCCCTATCCATGTGTTGTGTGTATTCTCAAATGTTAAATGAGAGAACTGGCAATCTCCAAGTTCGCTATCAGTAGCAATTTGTTCTGATATTTCAAGTTGGTAGTTTCATATTCAAACCTCATAACAGAGATTTAGATTAGAGACAGGAGTCTTGACAAATATTTTTTGTGTGGGACATAATGAGCATGCAGTTTTTGTGAGGTTCTTCCATGGCCAAAATGCAGCAAAATGATGCCTGCTGACAAATGCAATCCAGTGTATGTTGTAGTTATAGTTGTGAGTTTCTAAAAGGAGCATACTTCATCCATGTTTTGTTATCTTGCATATATTAATTTTGGTGGATCTGATTTTTGGACTCAAAATAAGATTTTAACTTTCCAAATTATTTGCTGCAATGCCCTAGGCCCTAGAATGGACTAGGGCTTTGGGGATAGAATTGCAGGGAGAGGTTGCAGTGGAGATGAGTCCATCTACAAAGTTGCATTGGCCTCGACCCTAGATTGGTTACATAGCTGGTTCTCAGCTTAAAGCCCCCCTGTGCTTGGCACTTCTCTTCTTCTGAAAGGCTAACTTCAAAAAAAGCTCTATTGTCATGTGTTCTGACTGGTTGGTGAAAACACTACACATCAGGAACTCTGACCTAGTAGGAGTTACTAGTGTAACTGTTTTGGCACTTCAAATGTTCCTCTTATTTTAGCAGGTAACTGGTAATGTTCTCTAGTCTTTTCAGTGTCCTTTACTTGGGAGTTGTTGGGGGTTAGTTCAAGGGCATTGAGGTTTCAAGTCACTCCTTAAAAAGTCAATTAATTAAAAAACTGGAAATTTTAATTTTACTTCGTAACTGTTTTTGCAAAGATGCATTTCTTTTCTTTTGTTTATGCTCATCCACCTTCCTCTCCATTGTTATTTGTCTAAACTTTCTGTAAAGCACACATGAAGCATTTGTAGGCACTCCTTATCACCTTCATTCTACACCCTTGTCTTGGTTTAATGCCTTTATTTGCTACCATACTATAAGTCCCATCTCACAGTACTGCTATCGTTCCGCAAAGCATTAAATACAAGCATTATCTTAGATGTGCAGCCTGGTTCTTTATGTTATCCTGGAAGTCCTGCTCCAAATGAATTAAACCAGGTTCTTTCTGTTAGTTGGAATAGTTGATCTGAAGTTTTTAATTCCTTGTTTGGCCACGGGTGAGAATGACATCCAATTTTCAGTTGGATGCTGGTTAATGAAATCCAGGCATATTGGTTATCCAGCAAAAAAATTTATTTTTCATTTAATATTTTATTTTTGAAATATGGCATTAATTGTTATCATAGAGGGTTTAGTCTCTGCATGATTCATGTTTTGCATGTCTGAGTGAGATGTCATATTGATGATTTTGTCAATTTTATAATATCACTGGTACTGTGGTTAATCCTTGTGATGAAAAAGTCAAAAAAAGGTCACCATACTCGTGTTTTGTGGCAAAGTTCTGAATTCCGTGCATCTTTATGTGAATATTAATTTTGAAGGAGTAGTAGTTTAATGCATTCAAATTAGTTCTAATCTTGTTTTCTCAATTCTGTAGGGATTGGCTTATGTTGATTTCTCCGATGATGTACACCTTACTGCAGCTCTGGCAAAGAACAAGCAAATGTTTCTCAATAAGAAATTGAGTATTGCACGGTCAGATCCGAAGCAGCGGAGAATGAGAGAATCTGTTGGACGTAACACCCCAATGGAACATGGTATGCTTGTCTTTTATTCTTCCTTTTATTTTCTTTTAATAAATGTTCTCTCCTCCACTCAGTGTTGCCGTGTGCCTATGCACATTGCTTGCCAAACAATTGGGTTAGGAAGAAATTTTTTAGCAGGGTTGAGGCATGTGCATATGGAAGATTGAAAACTATTTGCTGTATATGTTTTAAAAATTTGAGGGGGAAAAAAAAAAGAAAAGTAAAATGGGAATATTCGAAACAATCAAAATGAGAAAGAGCTATGATTATATGTAGCCAAAACCATTTCTCAACCTGCTCATGTCAAGTAGCAAGGCAATCTCATAATTCCAATCATGTTCAGTCTCTCAATCCTTCAACTAGTGGATTTAGAATATAATAGTGTGTAATACATGCCATTCTATAGGGTAGGCACCATATAATGAAGGTTTCCTAGACAAGAAGTTAGTTTTATTTTGCTTCTTTAGTAAGAAATCTGACTTAGATTTGAAATTGTATAATTAATTTTCTGAAGTGCCTATTGGTGAAAGATAGTCCTACTCTATACTGTTGGACCTAACGAATTATGTTTTGTATTAAAGAAATCCGTTAGATATGCTAATTTTTGCAATTTATTATCAAGTCTAAAGTTCCAGAAAGCTTACTCATGTCTGTTTTTGCTATCACATTGTCTTTCATCTCCATTTTTTTTTTTTTTTTTTTGTAGTTTTTCTTACAAAGGTTCTCCCTTTGGTCATACAAACCAATGATGAACATGTTTTATTCTCAAATTTAGGTTAAGAGTTTTTAAAGGCGACGATTGAATTATAGGCATTGTTGTCTAATCGTGAGTGTCATCCTAAATCAAATCCTAGAATTTTATTGTGTACTATATCAACATTCAAATATCTCAGCAAATTCAGAAACAAAGAAATGTAAGCAAAATATGAAATGACAGTCAAAGGTAAACTGTAGATAATATAAAAAATGGTGAATGAGGAAAATAAAATAAATAAAAAGAGAAAAAAGTTAACTGTAGAAAAAGAAAAGAATTAAGAACGGAAAAGAAATAATTGGGAACATATACAAACTGCTGAGTTATGTGGTACCTTCATTTACATTTAATGGTTGATTGATTGATTTTGGGTTTTTAGATTTTTGCCTCCAGTAGCAAGTTTCTGTGTGCCTTCCAAATTTTTTGGAAAAAGAGTATAATAGTACAACCCCCTGGGCGCAACGCAGTTGGTTAGGAGAGGGGGCCTCAAGTTGCTACCAACATAGCACTTGGCGTGGATTCGATTCTCCCCCATTGCATAAGCCTTGACTTAAGCAGAGCTTGTATTGAGAGGTCGGTGTAAACTCCCAGGTTATAATCTATAGTCCGGAACGAACAACAGGACACCTTGGTAATCTCGACACGGGCACTACCTCGGACCTACGGGAGGATGTGAGGATTTTCTGGATTTTCTTGTACCCCCCCAAAAAAAAAACTAGAATACATCTTTCTTAAAATTAGAGAGGATTAACATCTGAAAGGATTTTCATTAGAAATATCCTTAAAATTTATTTTTCTTACAAATACCGAAAAGCAACCAAAGTTTTTTGCCCCATGTATTTTGGTTTGATCATGAGATGTACTTTAGTTGGGATCATATCAGGTATACCTATCGATTACCTCTGACGCATGTGGTATATCATATTTTCAGATGCTGGCAAGTGACTAATACCATTGGAAGTTAAATTTCATAAGTGTGTTCATGTTAGGATCAAAGACACCCCGAGAATTATCTCACACACACAGAGAACACAATATTTACGTGGTTTGGCCCAATGCCTACATCCACGGACAGAAATGAGAATTATCACTAAAATGGAGCAAAAATACAAATACAGAGGAGGAGATGAAACTCACTCAACTCACAGCTCTCACTCTCAATTTCTGATGATACAAACCCCTCCTCACTCATCTCAATTTATAACCAAGAGAGGAGGAGTAGGTGAAGTGCTAGCCATAATTGGCCAAGGTGGTGCCACCCCCACTATCTTCCATTAGTGAGTTAGTGTTGCCCTCCACCACCTTCTTTTACCACCTAGTGCCACCCACACTATGTGGATGGTGGGCTCTTTACCATGTGGGTAGTGGATGGAGCCAACAATTCTCCCCCTCCACGCCCACATGGACAACTGACTTCTCACTTGAAGTCCATCCCGATCAGATGCTTGCAAACTTCCAAGACACAGCTCCCCCTGATTGGATGCCCTGTACCCCTGCTCGGGATACCCTTGCATTACCGTGCAACTCCTTGCATGATGAACACGGGAGCAACTAGAAAACTTCAGAGTGTGACACATCAACATCCTCAATTTTCCTTGCTCGGAGCTTATTTCTGAACAACCAGCCTTTGCTTTCTGCACTTCAGAACAACTTCCCAGCGATCTCATACAC